CAAACTCAAACTCGGTAACATTTGATTCGTTCTAGAAGTTCCACTGACCTTGGATATAAAGATGTGATTTTCCAATAGAATCAAACCAAAGTGATACAAGCAACAATTGATAGAGTGAAGAGTTATGAGAGAATAAATGTTACCAGGATAATCAGCGTAGTCGATAATCTATGTTTCCATGTAGTCTGAACATTTGAAAATGTAAAGATAAAAAATTATAGTGGTCTCCAAAAAATCGGCACCATCAGCAATGATGATGTGATAGAAAGTTTGAGTTTGAGTAGATTTGTAATAAAATGGCTGTTTTATCTGCCAGATATGCAAAACATTAATTTTTGATTAAATTCTACTTTTTCTATCGATGTTTTCTAAAGGTTTTCTAGAAACCAAATAGAAAACCTTTTTGTAATTGGATCTGACTTTGGCAACCTTATAAGTTTAAACTACATGGTTAAACCAGTTCAAAGCGAACATTAAAAAAATTTAACTTTCTATCTCAGTTTAGTAGTGAAAATCTCTAGAAAAATTTTGCTTTTTCATTAAAGATCTTCTAGAAATCCTTTAAACAAAATAGTTTTTCAATCAAAACTACATTTTTAGATGGAGAAAGATTTGCGCTATCCAATGAGCGTATTCAAAGAGAATTTCATTCCCCACTGAATTTTAAATAAAGATGCCCCCAAGACTTGTCAAGTCAAGATGCAAGTTTTCCAGAATCACATTATGAAAGTCAGAATCAGAGAAAACTAACATCACCAATAGATTCAGCATGTTCGAAAATCTCTAGGCTCCGAGGTTTAGATAATCGGCATATATCCGTTAGAAAAGTGCATCGATTTTTCTCTTATTGGAAATGCTCTCATTTCATTTGTTAAAAAATTTTATCAAGTTGAACCACAATTATCTTTTTAACATATCTTATGACATTAGATGTTGTCCGTAAGGAATTTCATTTTGGTCATATCTCAATCTTGAAAACTGAGGAGTGTTGTCTTCTTCCGCGAAGACTATAGTTTGAAATAAAAAAACAAAACAATAAAATAGAACTCGTTATCTTGACTTGCTCAATAGCCCAAAACTATTGGCTAGCAGAGTTTTTCATAATAAAGTGAAAAACAAATTATCGACAGATTGTCTCTGTTATTTTTACTGTAGACGTACATTTAGTGTTTCCTTCAACGAAAAATTGAAGTTCAGATATTAATAAACAATACATAACCGAAATGAGAAAAACCAATCATTCTTTAACTATTTCGTAAAAGTAACTAAACATAGAAAATTATGAAATCTGTCTAGTATGTGCGTGAATGAAAAGAGAAGAAGTGGAAACTCAAGACAGTAAAATCTTTGCCTTAACTCGCTTACCTAAGATAAATATATTATGCACAAGCAAAAGCGAGAAAAGGAGGACGAATCAGTATCATTTCTTATGTTCCTCATGTAATTATCTTGTTAAAGATTCTTTTCTCATTTTATATCTGCCAATTAGCGTCTGGTTAAAAAATAATACGTCAGAACTGTAAACTGAGAATGAAAGAATCTTCTGTTAATTAAATTTTAATTTAAATTTTAATTTATCGATATAATCCGTCCAGCGGCGTAACCAGGATTTTTAGTCCAATGGGCAAACTTCTATTGTATCGGAAAAAAACGATGGGCAAAATGGGCAAGGTTTTTGTCGATGGGCCAAAAGATTTTTGGTCCAAAAAGAACACAAAAAAATGAAATGAGATTCTTTTAATTTTTGAATTAGATTCTAATTCAAAAATAAACAAACAATTCTATCTATAGGCACTCTTACATATATCTTTCTAAGGATTATACAAAAAAAAACCGCATGAGTATATCTACTAAGTAAAATTTCAATGGGCAAAAACTTACTAATAAAAATTACAATGGACAAATCTCCAAATGAAATGAGCAATTGCCCATTTGCCCCCTCCCCCTGGATACGCCGCTGAATCCGTCGCATTCATTCTCATTTTCAACATTTTCGTTTTTATACGAGCGTCATTCAGTACCACTTAAACGAATTAAGTTTCTATTGAGCCTTTCTCGTAGTCAGATAGTTGTATTCTACTTTTCGATCAGTTTGTTCTATTTATAGTTTATAGCACGTCTATCTCTACTCAATCAGAAGACTACACTTTTATAACTATCATATAGAACAGATATTACTTTCCAATCCCAAGACATTGATCTCTACAGCAATCTCGGCTAGTGTTTCATATACCAGCTGTGCGTCAGTTTTAGTAAAAAAAATTCTAAAAATTACTTGATGTTAATACCAGTCGACCAATCCAAAATCGTTAAATGGAAACATTACAGTTGTTTATCTGAAAAAGATCGTATTTCCTATCCAAGTAAATATAACTAAACATTTTTCCAATATTCTATTTATAATAAATGCATTAGATAAGAAAATATGATTTATGTTTAACAATAAAACAAAAATAACAACAATAACGTTAACAAGAACATACGTACTATACAAAAGAAAAGACTTTTATAAAACTTTTAAGTCGTGATGTACACACTTCCATCTTCTGGCGTCAAATATCCACAAGCGATAAGTATCGAATCAATTAATGTCCATACACCCAATCCTCCGAATGAAAAAATCTTTCCAAATCCTTCTTTCACTTGTCCTAAATAAAATCGATCAACACCAAATCCTCCTAGGAGCACACTCAAAATAAACACCGTTCGTGTACGATATCCACTTGTAAAACTACATTCAACATTTCGATAAAATGTTCTTGAACCCAAACAGAGAATATTTGAATCAATTGTACAATTTGACTGATAATAATCGTTTTTCTTACATTGTAAATACGGTGTACACGTGTGATTATCTAATGGTACTTGATAACAATAACGACATGTGTAATTCTTTTCAAATTCTCGAACTTTCATACTGGATGTAGAGGATACCAAACATGTTCCATTTAACATTATACATTTTGTGGATATTATCTGACCGTATACACAATCTACTTCTAATAGACAATCTAAACACTCAACTGGAACATCTTGACAATATATTAGACCAATCTGAAGACATTGACGATTTATTGATTTAACATTAGTAATTAAACTTGATAAACATAGACAAAAAAATATTAATCGGTTTATAACTCGACAGAATAATAGTTTGGTAACATAGGTCATATGGTCATCGTTTCTAGAAAAATATGAACAAAAAATATTTACATGAAGACATTTTTCGTATTCTCCATTTCCAAACAGAAATCGGAGCATAGTTAGCATGGATATTCGCTATATTCAAGGTATCTTTACACATTCAAGTATTTGCAGTTGATAGAGAATCAACTTTCAGCAATAAGTTCTAACGCATTCAGTACAACTATTGATTCATTATAAGTAGGAATAAAAACATTTATAAAACAAAAGACAAGCTATTTTCTTGAGTATATAACGCGAGATTGCATCGGAAAACGTTCAATTCTCTTTCTTATCTTATCTGTATAATAACCTACTAACAAAACACAGCTAAATTGAATTTATATCGTTTAATTAAGACAATCGAACGATATTTTTCACCAATGATCGTTAAGTCAGTAAACAGAATTTAAAAAACATTCAATTAAGCTTTTTTTTTACAAAAATAACTCATAGATCTACTATTGACAGCATAAAAATGGCGTACGCTAGTACAAATAATATACATTTATGTTTTTTTGAGCATGATCGTTGTTCCACTTTCACCATATTCACTTTTGAATATTAGATCATCAGAACTCCATCATCGAAATTCAACGCAACATAACAGAATTTCTCTTTGATATCTTGCATCATTTCACATTCGGTTGTTGTCGCGAATGAATAGTTAAATTCGGTTAAGATTCTTAGAAGATAGTTGGTTAAAACACTACCAGCGTAACATCATCACCTGAATCGATCATACTATAGTTCGAACTGCAACGATAAAATAAATGTTTTCATTCTTCTCTATCGTCGGATATACACATGACGTACTAAACGTTTGAAACATGACTGGTGCCATTTTTTCACGATTTGTTGTCGTATCCAATGGTCCTTCGCTGAGCAAAACCAAATGTTCAACTTTTAACTCATTGAAAAATAAGTGATGTCAAATCTTTACTATATTACCGCAGTTCGTGACGATGGCATGTTTAATGTCAATATTCCAGTTTCAATTGTGCGTCGTTCCCAACGTAAAATTTTTTTTGTCCCATTCTAACGTTGACAATTTTGAGAAAAACTACAGAGTGCACCGAATTCGTTCACGAAATATTGTCTGCTCAAAACACTTTCTCTCAAAAGAAAACACTAAACAACATAATAGCTCAGCCATTGCCAGTTATGGTGACAGGATTATTCTCGTCAGACATCGTTGGAAACAATTATTATATTATAAAAGTTTGTTTATTGCCGACGAGAACAAGTACTGCCATTTTCTTGTTAAAATAAGAAATGAGAAGTAGACGCTGAGTGTAATCAGGAGAAAATGGTAGTAAAATGGTGACGCTATAAATGAACTCATCTTTAATTATACACAATACAATATGTTATTATTGAAATAAAATACACAAAATTAAAACTAAAACGAAACGTTGGCAAATGGTCAGTCAGCTTTTATATAAGAAAATCAGATGCTCGAATTTTTCATTTTTATCTATGCTCTTTGTTTTTCAGTAGAAAACGTAGCCGTAAACGTTTAAATAAATCACAAAGAAACTTATACTGTTTCCGTTTTCTCTAACAAAAGGGTACAGAATATTTCAATATTGTCCATATTATAGAAATTGTCTAGTAGAAAATGTAGAAGAAAAGTAAACCTAATAAATATAAAGACTCATCTTACAAAAATGATTTCTTCTGTTATCAGAATAAGAGACTTTTTTTACCAAATTAAATTCTGAACGCAGCAGTAGATAATGAAACTTACTTCTCTTCTACCGCGGAATTTAATCAACAAGAAAAGCGTTCATTTTTTATTCCTATTTCACATGATGATAGAATATCTCAATTAATATTATGTCTGAACATGGATAAAAAGTGATTATCATTGGTTGCATCTTCTAGAAATTTGGACTCTTAATGTTTTATTTATGCATGAGATGAAATAACAAAAACTTGGAAAGAAAGAAAATTTTATTCTTTTTTTAATTGTTAATCTTAAAACATATCAGTTGATCACTGTAAATAATTTATACATTGAAAAAAAAAAATAATATCAACAAAAAAAAGAAAAAATAGTAGAAGAAATAGGAATAATATAGCTCCAAACGAGAATAGGTGAGTGAGAGACTTGTAACAGATCAAAATAAATAAATAACGATCGATTTTTCTTTGGAAAATACAAGAAAACAAAACAAGCAAACAAGGTTGGTCGAAACACAACGTAAAACATGATTATTCTGAACAATAATAAAAGCGATTATTCAATGGGAAGGAGAGTTAACAAATTGAATCCGTAAATTCTAGCAAATGACAAAGAACAGGGAAAAAAAAACATTAGAGTAAAAAGATAATTGAGGTCATATGTACTATTTTTAGTTCAGAATAAAAAAAACTTCGAGATCATATTTATGAGTTGTCATAGAAACCACTACACAATAGTATAGCACTTGTCTTACATTTCATTAGTTCATCATACTGCTATCTCTATTAATTAACTACCTATAAGGTAGAATTTAGAACACTAATTAAAGTATGTAAGAAAACAGTAGGGTTGGATGATTAGTACATATTCTGTCATTTATCAACGATCTAAACTTGGAGTAAATGCACAGGATACTGATGGACAAGTTTCGAATTGATTCATTTCTTCAGAGCATATTCTCACACTCTGTACACACATAGAAGCTGAACATTAACAACAATAAAGAAAAATTGGACAACGTTGATCACATGTTACAATGTCACTGATCTATTTTAATGTTGTATAATATTGTTGTAATTTTGTTTGTATTGGTGGTGCACATTTTACTTGAATAAATTTAAGAATATACAGTGGCAAACATGATGCCAGTGTGACAACTAATACTTTCCAAATAAAATCAAATGATTGTAAAAATTGAGCATCAAAATATGATTTAAATACAATTAATGATAGCACATAACAGGCTAAACTCAATAATTGGGCAACTATCATCAATGGATGCCATGTACCTAGAATAAAAGCATAGATCTTGAGATAATTATGAATTCTCACAAGTTCTTGTTACTTACGTATTGTTAATGAAACCATTAACAATTCTGTTAATATCAATGATGTGAATGTAATTGATACAACATGAATAAAATCATCATCGAATAGCAAAAATGAACCGTACATAATAGCACCACCTTGATAAATGGAAATAAATACCCAAAGAAAAAATGTTTTAAGCGATAGTGAACGTCCTTTCGACAATTCTTTATACAGTTCTGGATATAATAGAGCAATTTCTGGTTGTACATCTTTATCTAATACTAACGAAAACACAGAAAACATTGTGTAAATTGTAGCATAGCCAACTAACAGAAAACCTTGATAAAGTGAAACAGATGAAAAATAAAATATCGATGAGAAAACAGCCTGCATAACGCTAATAATGAGACCACGATGCATGATAAATTGAGATAAAGCAGCTGAACGTTTATACGAATTACGTCCATGTACCAATAATAAACGAGATAAATAGCTAAATTGATTTATACTAAAATCAGCGGCTGATGATGCTTGTTTTCCTAGAGTAATAGAATTAAATAATTTTTCTTAAATAATTCAAATAATATTTTTGACAAACGTACCTTCTTTTCCTACAATTCCTATACCAACATCAGCTGCTTCTAAATAAATAAATGAATGTCAAGTAGTAAATTGTTACAAACGTAAGATCTTTTTACTCACGTATCATGCTGACATCATTTCCTCCATCTCCGACTAGAAGAGAAAATGCAGATAGCAAAGACATATTAGCCAGATAAAACCAAAGAAATGATCGCTATGAAACAAACCACTTACTTGCACACACTCGCACTCGTTTTTCTCCGTATTTTTTTAGCAGATTAACAACATGTGCTTTTTGTGTTGGTGAACATCGACAGACGACAACAGCCGGACATTGGATAACTAATTCTGCCAGATCCGATTCATAAAATCCCAAACATACTTGTAATGTATCACCGGTAATAATCAGACACGCATCGGCTTTACGTCGAAACATATTCAATTCTTGTAGACAATCTTCACGCGTTGATATCGATTTAAACGTATAAATGTCATGTTCACGACCAATCAATTTTGAACTTTTAGCTATACATGTCGCCGTTTCTAATTTATCACCTGTTAACATCCATATTTTAATACCCGCATTACGCAGAATTTCTAGTGTTTGACGAACGTTTTCTTGTAATTTGTCTTCAACTCCTACACGATGTAAACGTGTTGATGTAATTAGGTTCATTTACTACAGCTAATGCTTACCTGTAACACATAACAATTCCATTTCTCTTTCTAATGTTTCAATTATTTCAAGCACTCGTTTATTTCTATCAATTGTTTGTAATTTTGCTTTCAATAAACGTTGTTCAAACTCTTGATATTGTTCTTCTGTGAGAATTTTTTTTGCTACAACCAACGTTCGTAAACCTTCTCTAGCCATATTTGAACATTCTTCTTGTAACCAATCGTTATATTGGACAATAGGTTGCATAACAATATCGGCACCTTTCAAATAGAAGATAATTTCGTTTGTTTGATCATCTCGTACTATAATTCCCATTCGTTTTGTTTCTGATGTAAATGGAAATAATTGTAATATATGATAATGGAGTGTTTGTTGACTGGAATTTAAACGTAATGTGATGCTTTGTAAATCACGATGAACTAGTGTTAAACCAACTTGTTCTGTCCATTCAACTAACGCTATTTCATCGGGACTCGAGGCTTGATAGGTAACACCTATAATACAAAAGAGATACACTTATTGATATCGTGAAGACATATAAAAAAAAGACATATACCTTCTTGCGTATTTGTTCCCAGTGGTTGTGCCGCTTGCTGTTCATCCGATAACTCACTGATCGTTGCTGCTGTTATTGGTGATTCTGTTCTTGAACTATGTAGTGAAAATTTATCACTCCACGTACTCGTCGGTGTCTTTACAGGTGACTGTTGTGATACCAGTATCTCGGATTTTTGTTCAAAAACGGGTGTAACATTATGACATAGAGCTAATGCTTTAACAGCATCGGGAACCTTGGTAGCTTCAGTTCGTTTGACCACACTTCGTTTTTGTATAGTGGAGGCAGGTTGTAGTTGAGGCGATTGTTGTTTATATTGTTGTTTAATTAATTGAGCAATTTCCGTTTGATTTTCATTTGTGTACGATACTGTGCCCAGATGAATGCGTTTAAATACCATCAAATTTTGAGTCAATGTGCCTAGTAACACGCGCACACGTTAGAAAGATGGGACAAGTATACATTTACCTTTCAATTGAAATAACTGATCTTGTAGAGAGTACCATATAAAATGATAGCAGAGTAGATTCGAGATCACATTTTTCTCTCATAAATTTGAATTTTGTAGCATCTTTTACCTGTCTTATCTGATAATAAATATCCAATTCGTCCCAACTCTTCTGGTATGGTTGATGTTCGAACAGCTGAGTCTGGTATATGTTTGTCTTTCTCGATAAACCATGAATAAACCATTTTTCCCAGATCCAAATTGACTCTTAAACTAATTGGTATCATGTATGAAAATAGGAGAAAAAATCGCACGGCATAACGCCACCATGGTCCTTTAAATCCTTTTAATAACAACATGATAAGACTGAGTAAAACGAGAGCAACAAATAATAATTTTGTCAATGTATTTATCTCCAAATCTACGAGACCAACTTTATTACGTGGTTTCGATGTGTTCAGCACACTTCGTGTATCTGATCCTGTGTAGATGACACAACAAACAGATTCTCCAGTGGCCAACACTGTGCCAGCCCATAGTATATTCTCAACACTTAATGGTTCATCATTTTTCAATGATAAGACCCCGTTAAATTCATGAATATCTAAACGTGGTGGTTCAGCATGAATTTTACCTAAAACAGCCGTATCCGTTGTCAATATTGAAATATCATCTATTTGCTGTGTAGTCGGTATTGCTATGCGTAATTTCCAATCTGTTTCACCATCCAATTGATCAGTGCGAATAAAACAAGTGCCTAAGATCAGAATAAAAAAAATTTTACCAAAAGATAATCTTCCATAAACGTTTGGAAATATTTTTAACATTTTTTATGACTTTACCTGATTTATCCGATGTTTGCAGCAACACCACATCGGCTGGTATTCTTTGATTTTTTTGAATAACAATAACATCAGACACTTTTAAATCTGAACTGGGTACTTGTTGACGTTTTCCATTTCGAATTAATGAATACACTTGTGAATTTAATTCTTTATCACGATACGCACGTTTAATATCATCAATAGCTTCTTTTATCATTGTCACACATAAAACGAAACCTAATGGACCCCAGTACGTATATAAATAGCCGATACGAAATGCGGGAAAAAATTGAGTGCAAGCCATAACCAAAAAATATAGATTAAGAAAAAAACGAAATTGTTCAAATAAAACTAATGGAATGAATGTTAAAATATTATATTTCTGATTTCTAATGACATTTCGTGGATAAAATGTTTGATTTGATTCACGATGACCAATTGTTACATTTCGAGGTTGAGTTTTATGAGATTTATTACGAAAAAAGGAGAGAAGTGATGAACAAGATAAACCCATTGTTGTTTTGTGTTTTTCTTCTGGTTGCCGTTTACCTGAAAAAGATAATAACTAATACTAATTTTGTTAATATTTAGAGTTACGAATGTTAATGTTTGCTACTTAATGGAAAACGTACGAAAAGGATTTTGAAAACACTTTGTGAGATTTGTTGTTTGTTTAGTTTCACGACGATTTTTTATTGATGTTTGTTGTTGCGGTTGTGCAGAGGCTTGCGTTGATGTTAATTCGTATTCATCTGAATATTCAATATTATTAACTTCATTGTTTTTACCAACTAAAGGAACATTTTCCATTCGAATTTAAACATGAATATGGTCACTTACGACATATTCTCTCTTCGAACGTATATTTTTTTTTATTTTGGAATGTTGATGTCAGAAAATAATAAATACTTGAAACAGAGGAAAAAAACAACGAAAATATAAAGACAAATAAAAAATAGAAATTAGTGTTTCAAATTAGTTGCGCGATATGACCGAAATGACAAGACTAATTAAGAACTGATGATAAAGAGTCTATTTTACACATTGAAAAAGAGATAAACTAGATTTTAATCAAACTTAAATCAATGTACAATTCTAGCTATCCTCATACTTTATTACAGAACCTGAGAATAATTTAAGCTTTAATCTTTCAGAAGAAACATAGTTTACATTAACTGTACCACTTTAGTTCTATCTTTCCCATCCAGTGCATCCTTATCTGTCAATATATATCAGAAGCAAAGATTCCAAAACCAACAAATTTCTGATTCTTTTATACCGTTTGTAACAACTTAGTACTATAGTATTTGCTTTACGCGTATCTAAACGTAAGTCTATGCTCTTATGAATTGAAAACAGGACTACAATAACGTATTGCAGTCACAGCATATTGTAAATGCATTCATTTCTTATCATAATATGCATCGGAAGGTTGATTTCACGGTTAGGTGATGATTCATATATTTGTATCGACTTGTCGAAAAAATCAGCAAATAACAATTCAACTATAGGACTCAAATGATTTGCGCATCAAGCACAGACATAGAGTACGATAAACCAATCACTTGTGCATTATGTTCCGACTAAAGATTTATCTCAGTTGACTTTTAGTTCGAGCAGAACAGTTCATATCATGAGATCGCAAACTCTCAGCTGCTTGTTCGACTGAAATCAATTGCAGATTCGGACTCTCCATTGTCGATCATCTTGTACGCAACAATTTCTGGATCAGGGTATAGTATATTTTCGAAAAAGTTCCAGGAGCTTACTACACATCAAAAGATGTAGTACATTTTTTTAAAAGTACCGCGATTCAGAGGATATTGCGTACGAAGTAAGCCACTACGGACAAGCTAAACCGAACCTGCAATTGATTTTTGCGGAATAAAGAACAGATTAAGGGGACGTGTGTCAAATCTTTGACTAACTAATTAAGGCTTTACTGTCGAGAAGAGGATATATGCATAGAGTGGTAAAAACGACTCATTTTGAAATGCGCTGTTTTCTATCCAAAATGGCAATGAAAAGGCGTTACTATAATCTGTCTTTGTACGATTATGGTGTCTGTACATTTGCCTATATTATTTTCATCATAGTTGTTGTCTTTACGTGATTGTTGAAATAACCGGCAGTCAATAAAAGCGACTATGAGACAGATGAAATATATGCTGGCGAGAAGAAGATAGATGCATACAGTGGAAAAGGAAATGTGCTGTTTGCTATCCAAAATGGCAATGAAAAGGCGTTACTATAATCTGTTTTTGTGCGATTATGGTGTCTGTACATTTGCCTATATTATTTTCATCATAGTTGTTGTCTTTACGTGATTGTTGAGACAACCGGCAGTCATCAAAAGCGACTATGGGACAGATGAAGTATAAAGAACAGAAATCTAGTTATGTTGAAGAATATTACCCTTATTTTAGATCCAACATATCTTCTTTCCTTTAAACAACACGAAACGATGACGTCGGTAAGTGTATTAAAACTCAATAAGTTCGTGAAAAATTCTGTGAAACTGTTTTGTGCTATAGATGAATAATCTAAGTATAAACTAATTCTTTCATCGTTTTTTCTTATTTAGACCGGTGATGGAAAGGGTCCTCTTAGAATTGTAATTACAGGTGCAGCTGGACAAATAGCATATTCACTTTTATATCAGATATGTAGTGGAGATGTATTTGGACAAGAGCAGGTTTGTACGCAGTAAGAATGATGCATATTTTCATCACTCAGTATTTATTTATTTTTGTTTCTAGGACTTAATTGTGAATTTATTGGACATAACTCCCATGCTAGGCGTTCTTCAAGGTGTTGTAATGGAAATTGAAGATTGCTCATTGCCGCTTGTTAAAGGTAAACTTCTTTTTTTTAACTGACTATCTTTTCATCTTTGATTTTCTTGATTTCAAGGTGTTTTTCCAACGGATAGTGTAGAGGTGGCATTCAAAGATATTGATGTGGCTTTATTTGTTGGTGCTATGCCACGTAAAGAAGGAATGGAACGAAAAGATTTACTTAGTGCTAATGTTAAAATATTTAAACCACAAGGGCAAGCTTTAGAAAAGTTTGCAAAAAAAACGTGCAAGGTATCGTTTGATCTTCGTTAAAATTTATTATTTTCTAATAATAATATATATATATATGACTTTTCAGATACTTGTCGTTGGCAATCCAGCTAATACAAATTGTTTTATACTAGCTCAAAATGCGCCATCAATTCCACGTGAAAATTTTACATGTTTAACACGATTAGGTAAATATGACCTCTAGTGTAAAAAAACAACTCTATCTTTAAATCAGCAAGAAGAAATTTTGATATACTAAATATTATTAATGTCATTTCGTTATCATATTTAGATCATAATCGCGCCATTGGTCAAATAGCATCTAGATTGAAAATATCTCCAAAATCAGTTAAAAATGTCATTATTTGGGGGAATCATTCTTCCACACAATTTCCTGATGCACGTTCTGCAACTGTCAATGTTAATGGAAAAGAAACACCAGCTTATGATGCCCTTAAAGATGATAATTGGTTGAAAAACGATTTTGTTTCGGTAAGACCAATTCGTTTTTATCTGATTGTATAAATAAGAGATACTTCACTAAAGGCGAAGGATTTATCCGAAAGAGTAAGATGAAATTGACAATTGCACTGTGTTCAATTTCACAGAAAAAATTTGATTTTCAATCTTCGATTATATCGTTTTAGATTGTTCAAAAACGTGGTGCTGCTGTTATAGCCGCTCGAAAACTCTCTTCGGCAATGTCAGCTGCTAAAGCTATTTGTGATCATATGCGTGACTGGTGGTTTGGAACAAAAGATGTATGTCATCAATCATACTTTCAATCTAATTTTTTTTCTTTATCCCTCCCTTATGTTTCTAGCATGAATTTACCTCAATGGGTTTGATTAGCGATGGTTCTTACGGTATTGAAAAAGGCCTTGTTTACAGTTATCCTGTTCAAATTAAAGATGGTAAAATTTCGATTGTACAAGATTTAAAAATTGATGATTGGTCACGTGATTTGATGGATAAAACACAAAAAGAATTAATTGAAGAAAAAAATGATGCATTAAAAGCCACAAGTACCGAATGACTAGAAAATGATTATCAGGAAAAGGCAAAATTATAGGTTAATCCGATGGTTAGTAACGTGTCGTAGTTTTGTATTGAAGTTCTCTTCGCAACACATATACAGTAGTTCTAGCTGTTCGCATTTTTCCTTTATTTTAATGTTATTTTTTTATTTATCTGTAAGCGGCAGTGATTAAAACGATGTTGTTTTTTTATTATTGAACTCATTAAATTTTTTTATTATGATTAGTATTTTTTTATTAAATAAAACAAACATATGCTTAGCATATACAACTATCTGTATGTAGTGCTTTTTTGTTTGTGTTCTTAAGCCTTTGTTTTTCTGATGAGAAAAATCAAGCTTTTTGATTCTATTTAGAGTAAGTTGACGCATCATCCATCACGAATGCTAAGCGTCGTCGATTGTGTATGTACTATTAAAAGATGGACGGTAAGCTAGTTCTATTTCGAACAATTACCGTTTTTTGTTTTTCTAATATTAAACTCCAATCATAGACCAGTGATGTTACAAGCTACAAACACATTCATAGACAATAGAAAAGGATAAGGAGAAAAACGCGTAAAACATGCACTTTGATAGGTTTGTGAGTAACGTTTCAATAGTGACTACAACTATCTGCTATATGTTCGTTTTCTTGGCATATTTTCTTCGATATTGGACAGCTTAGCATTTCCGAATCTATGCTCATTTAAAAATGTCCTGTCAAACCTTGATGTAATCACGCTGATTACACATTGGTATCTAAATCATACTGAAGGAATTCTTATAAAATTCTCATCTTTCAGTATCTCAATATTTTCTGAGTAACATTTTGAAAAGGAGAGAAGGAAAGAATCTATTATATCCCCCATTCTCATCGAAATCTCTGTTTGCTAGACTATAGAAACAGACGGCGTACACCTAAAGATGAGCCATTTAATATTTTATTAGCATAGGATGTACTCTAAACGAATGCTGAATAAAACTACCATATCTAAACTGAAAATTGAAATGCCGTTTCTCAAATCAAAACGAATTGGAACATGGTTTTTCACACAAAAATATTGTTCTTGTTTTAGACGAGTTCGAAGAGGTTTTTAACATAGACAAACACGTTTTAATAAAAAGGAATAATTAAGAACTCTCTCCCCTTAGAGAACTTTTTTACTTTATTATGCATCCAATTTTGATGAATGGTTCAGAGGTCACGAGTCATCGCTCAACTAGGTTATGCTGAAAATTTCAGCCCGAACCGTTGGACGGGTTTCAAGGAACAAAAAGGGCTCACAGTAGAATTGATACTCCTAGAGGGTTCATCGAAGGACTAAAATTTTTGTGTGGAAGCTACGATCCTTATCTAAAAACTACCCGTGGCGATTTTTGTACTTTTCTGTTCATTTTCTACACATTTTAAGTCAAAACCCCGTAATCCTCGATAGTCATTTTCCATTTTCTCGGCTCAAGAAATAAATTTCAAAATCGCTACGGACGGCTTTTAGATAAAGATCGTAGCTTTCGAACAAAAATTAAAGTCCTGCGATGAACCATCTAGAAGGAGTATCAGTTTTGCTTCGAAAACAAAGATTGTTTCTGAAAGATAAAAGTTACGACGACAAAACTGGAACTAAGTGGCTGAATCGCGTAAGCCTTCTACTGAAGTGTGAGCGCGACCTTTTTTACTCTTTTTGTAGAGAATTCAGGAGCTATAGGCATTTTCTCGAGAGACCCGATTTCGGCCAGTTGACCTTGGATGATCAAGATAGTTTATCGACCGCGCTGAGTCGAGTGGTGATGTTTATTTTTAGTTTCAAAGCGAACTAAAGTCACTATATCAAGATTTTCGAAATATCCGCTCTACACGCAACATAGTGGTAGAAGCGGTAGAAAGAGATATTATCTCTTTTTGCGCATGCATATCTTTCTTTTCTATCGATTCGGTGAAGCCGAAAAAATGTCCACATGTGGGACATCTTATGTGAAAAAAGATATCTTATTTGCTAATTCTCTAATATGAATATATAGAAACAGATTGGACTTGTTTGTGTATAGAGCAGACGTGGAAGATGGCAGACCAACTACCATAGGAGGTACTCGTTTAGATAATATTTTCTATCCATCAGACTGGCTTCCACCAGCTGTAAGGATGTTTGACGCGTTAGGACTCTCCTACCACAGAATTCTTCTGTGTAAGTTCTCAAACATCTTTATATCAGCTGAAGAAAAAACAAACAAATATCGAGGTTTTAATTCATGCGATTGGGACAGTATGAGACAACAATTCTCTGCATCATCGGATGACTTTCTGTTGACCGATGTTGTGGGTAGTGCTTTGAACACTTTTCAAAATATTATAAAAAGGGGTATTAAGTCTTTGTTCCTCTAAAAGAGCGAAAACCACGTGAGAAGTTGTTTTTTCGCCCAAGTAAACATTACTGTACTCTACGTAGACATTAGCTTTCAGCGTACAAAAGTCAAACCATCTCCGCGAGCGTCTGTTTTACAGCGGAAGGTTCGAAACAAGGCTCCTAGTGAATTAAGAAGAAGTAAACAAAGATATTTTAGAAAACTAGCTAGCCACTTTACGTCGTCCCATGACTTCTGGAAAGGAATAAGTCGGGCTAAGGACGGTGGAAATGATTTACCAGCGACAGTATTGCTAGAAAATAAGAGAGCGAGTACGGAAAAGGAAAAGGCGAATCTTTTTAATGCATTTTTTATCAAATGTTTTGAACCAAAAAAAGGGCCTAGTAACAAACCTAAAGCAGTTACAGACGATCTCTTCGTCCTAGTTCTGCCAACGAAGGCAGAAATATTAGACACTATTCGTGGACTGAGAAATGATATAGCAGCAGAACCAGATGGGATTACGGTGCGTTTACTGGAAGAATGTGCCTTTGAGCTATTGACCAAATCCACCACTTACAATCGACTGTTTACAATTTCAATCAAAAACGGTGTGCATCCTTCCTCCTGGAAGTTAGCGGATGTAATTCTAGTTCAAAAGAAGGGCCCAAAAGCAATGGTGGACAAGTATAGGCCTGTTTCTCTTTTGTCGATATTGAGTAAAGTGCAAGAACGTTTCGTATACGATCAACTTGCTACGTATCTCGATAAGCACAAATTTTTCTTGCCGCGACAGTTCGGTTTTAGAAAGAACTGCTGGACAGTGGATACATTGCTTTTTCTTACACATAACATATTTAAAAATCTGCATGATGGGACCGATTCCATAGTGGTTATGTTTGATTTTGAGAAAGCCTTCGATCGGGTGCCCTTTCAAATACTCCTATCGAAACTTGCAGCTTCGGGAGTAAAAGGTGCACCGTATCGATGGTTCGAAAGTTATCGGTCAGAGAGGAGACAACGAGTGAAGGTGGGCTCATCGTATTCAGAAACAGCAGAGGTTCCTTCTGGAGTCCTCAACGGTTCCATTTTGGGTCCTTTGTTGTTTCTAATATTTATTAACGATATGAGTCTAGTAACCGAGTTGTCTTTCCTGTCTGTTTTGTATGCAGATGACTGTTCGTTGTTGTGTCCGGTTACGGATACGTGCCCTACTTCAATTTGTCAACCTTTTATTGACAAAGTGGAAGAGTGGTGTTCAGAGAATCTCAGGACATTAAATTATGCAAAATGCTCATGGATTTATTTTACAAATCATAGTGCATCTGTTGCTGATAACATTTCTTTAAAGGTAAACGGAACAGTTATGAGGCGAGAAAAATCAGTGGTCTTACTTGGCGTGCGCTTAAGCGACGATCTCACGTGGGGAGAGCATGTTGACGAGTTAGTTCTCGGATGCAGAAGGCGGCTTGGAGCAGTGTTTCGTACTTTCAAGGAAGCTCCAATTAGCACCCGGTTATCTATTTTTCGAGCTTGTATTCTTAGCAAACTCGATTACTGTTGTCTCGTCTACGATAGCAATTGTTATGCCAAAACTCTTGATAAAATTTTGAAATTAGCCGCAAGAATGATTTCCAAAAAATTCGACGGATCGATGTCAGAGTTAATTCAAAAACTAAAACTCCCCGATTTGTCCTTGAGAAGAAAATACTTTCGTTTGATTCATTTCTATAAAGTAATGAACAAGTTATCGCCGCTAATATATCAAAAATATGGTAAAAAATGTGTTTCAAATTTATGTTGAACATTTAACCTTTCTGCCATCTACATCATTGAAAGTGATGGATGCTGGTGTCCCCTTATGATGGCGAACATATTTCATTCCATATAGTCTGATTACTCATTATAAGTGCGTAACAATGACAGCAACGGAGTAAACTAACTATCTTTATTGCTATAGTTATTCATCATCTGAAGGTTGTTTCTAAGCACAAGGAGATGAAAATGAATTCAAATTCAAAGAAAGGATAAAAATTCAATTTAACAAAAACGTATTATATGTATTTATTTGAACTGAAGAACAGAACGGAAAATTTTTTAGTTCCAGTGAATTCTGCACACTAGCCATCATATCAATTATGGACTACTATTTTCGTTTCTTTATATGTCATATTCAATTTGAATAAACATCGTTTATTGAAAAATACACTTCGCTGTAAGACATTGTTTTATTTCTTCCATTTTCGATATTTTTGTTTTCTAAATGAAACTTGCCGATGTTGTTCAATATCCTAGAACAATACAAACAACAACTGTAACAAAGGTACGACGTGCTGATATGGTGAGTAACTTGAAGTTTGTATATAGTGCAATAGTAAACACGTGTTATAAATGAACTTCGATAGATAGAAGACGAAATTTGTTTGATTGAATTGTATACATATCACCGAATCTAAAGAAGAATGCTTACAGACAAATGAGAAGCGAATGAATTATCGAATTGATTACAGTCAATAACAATGGTATACTCTAATGTTTAGCTCTGCATATTGGTAAAAGTCTGGGAATATATATGAGCGAGAAGAATGAAAAATGTTTAGTTTCGTGGCATCAAAAATCTTTTGAGCTTTCTCGTCATTTTAGGTACATTTTTACGGAAAAACTATATTTCTCTGACATTTTCTGCTCATATTCAGTAATTAATCATAACGTTCAAATTTGTTTGGATAAAAATAAAACTACTCTATTATTATGGATATTACGGTGTCTGAGTATTGGATTTACTAAAATCTAAAATTATAAGCAGATGTGTAATTGAGAAATGAACCATTTGGATGTTTGAATACATCTTAGAATAAAATAGATGCCTATACTTTTAGATGTCACCATCCAATATGACAGTCGGTCGTCAGGATAATAATCCAACATCTCACACAATATCATCAAATACGCATCATCATCAATCTCGTACAAATCTTGATGATATGCTATTTACATTGTCTTACGATCAACAACTTGAACAAAAACATTTAACACGTTTAGATTTAGCAAATAAAGGATTAAAACGAATTGAAAAATTACCTAATATTCATTTTCAAATAATCGATTTTGATAATAATGAAATAAATAAAATAGAAAATTTAGAAAACTGTCAAATGCTCATCCAGGTACATGATCTATTTTTTTAATTCTTATCTATTATCTATACGTTCGTTATTCTATTTTGTTTTAAATTCTAGCTATCATTGTTTCATAACCGATTAGTAGATATACGTTCATTGAGTCGTTTACGTTTATTAGAAAAGCTAAATTTAGCACAAAATAGTATTGATTCCATTGAAAGTAAGAATATGAGAAAATATTTAAAATTAAAAAAACATACATCTTTTTTGATTTTTCTCATTTAGGCTTAAAATCTTTACAAAATTTAGTTTCACTTAATATTTCATGCAATAATATCAGTGTTAGTATGAATCCATGAGAAGTAAGAATTTTTCATTGAAAAAAATGTTTATTTTCTTTTGATTTTTAGAGCTTAAGTGCTTTGAATTCTTGTCATTTACTCCAGTATTTGGATGCAAGTGATAATACAATACGTGAAATAGAAGATTTATCAGCACTCACATCATTAAGGGTAAGAATTAGCTAAAAAATTCTTGATACTATCAAATCTCTTCAAGATTAATGTGTATGTTTAGAAGGGAAAAGGATGATTGATGTTTATTTTTTTCAGAATTCATTTATCATTAAATTCATCTTTGCTAATAGTCTATTAGATAACTTATTTTCATAGATCAGAAAAAGAATTTTTTTTTCTTAACATATTATTAACCTTCTTTTTATTTCAATTATTTTTAGTATCTAAATTTGAATAAAAATTTTATTGATACATTAGTACATGTTCCACGAAATTTACCAAAAAAAATTCAAACATTAATTATATCCGATAATGAAATTCAAGATTTAACTGAAGTATGTTTCATAAAATTCTTGTAGAATTATCTATTATTTTTTTTCTTTTTTTTTTTTCTTTTCTTTGTTAAGATTTGTTATCTTTCCACATTAATTGAATTACAGACATTATGGATTATGCAAAATCCATGTGTCGAAATTGAATCCCGACAAGGATATAGACAGTATCCTTTTTCATTTGAAAATCAAAAATTATTATCCTATAATAGAAATAAAAAAAAAAGTTTTCTTTAACTAATTGTATAGACGATTTGATTATCGTCCATATATTTTTAACTATTTACCACTTCGAAATCTTGATGGATATACAATATCACGTAAAGAAAGGTAGGCTAAAAGAGTTTAAAATAAGCTAGTTTTAGAAATGTTAATGAATATATTTTTCTAATTGTTTATTTTATGTTCTAGTTTGAAAGCCGAATGGTTATTAACTCAAGGTAAAGGACGTACCTTTCGTCCTGGTGAACATCTTGAATTAGTTGAATATTTATCAAAAGTATGCTCAATTGAATCGACTGAAGTAAGTATACATATTTAAAATAGATATATTAATTTATTACAAATATAAAATTATATTCATGTTTAGAAAGATGAACAACATTTATCGCGTATTATGCATTTACAAGATATGTATACACAACAAAAACGAAATAGTGGTAAGAATGATTATATTACAAAAACAATTGATAAAAAATAAATGTTATTATTTTATTTTTTATTTTTTTTAGAATCAATATCGAATATTGATGATGAAAAAAACTTTGGTTCAGATACAATGACAGCAGCTGATACACTTCCAAAAGGTTTTCTATATTTTATTTTTATATTATTTAAAAATATATAATAATAGTATTTTGTTATTATTAATTTTAGATTCTCAATTAAAACAAACACCGATTACTCAACAAAGTTTATTATTATCCGAATCTGAATATATTAAAATAAGTCCAAGTCCATCATCATCCGTATCAAGTACAAATGATATGCATACACTTGTTGGTGGAAGTAAGATTTATAAATGAATTATCAAATCTTTAAAATATTTCTCATATTGTACAAAGTTAAACATCACCATCTATTTTTATTGATTTTAGCTCGTCAATTGCGTACACCTAGTCCACTTGTTATGTCACGTAGTATAAATAATCCGTTGAATGCAAGCATAGAAGACAGTACAAGTCGAACAAATAATCGCTATGTTGAATACGATGCTCGACCAGTAAAACCGTTAGATCAAAATTTATTTCAAACAAAATTAAATGAATATGCAGTTGTTAATACCAATGATGAAACGTAGGGTTACTTTTTAGATTAAAGACGCATCATCAATATTCTACAGTTCACTTTTATAGTCGTTTACGGCAAGAGCCAATGCGTAATCGTTCAAAATCAACAGCAACTACAAATTCATCGCAACTCTCAAATCAACCTCATTTAGCATATAATGCGAATCGTTATTCACCCAAAACAGCCAGTCATGGTCCAACAACGTCATCTGCATTACAACATACAACAACGGCAACAACTCTACGATTAAAACAGAAAAATACAACCGATAAATGTAAGTAAAAGCGTCAGAAGAGATATATACGCATTCGCGAAGCTTTTTTCCTACTATATTGTAGATAAATCAAAATATGAATAGCCTTCCAACTCTTTCTATCCGTTAGTTAGTTGAGTAAATAAAAACTAGATTTTGACATTGAACGATTTTTCAACAAACTAAAGCATGTCACAATAGTTAGAAAGGAGAATCTTGACATTTTTGAGAGACCAAAAATTCTAAATAATTCTATCTTGACAAAACGATTGAACACCCATGAATCAGTTAGGTCAAAGATTTTATCAAAATGTAGATCAAATTTCCTACTAAAAAAAGAGAAAACAAATCTTAGTAAAATATCATCAATTTTTTGTAAAATTTTATTTTATTTAATTTGCCATACTTATCTGGCTCACATATCAAGAGCTATTTTTAACATTATTCATTATGTGAGCACTTTCACCTTTGACATTTTGTATTATGCGTTGTTTCAAAATACAAGTAAATATCACATACGCGAGATTTGAATGTTTTATTTTATTTTTCACGCTCGTTTATGTACTTACCGTATGATAATTTTGCGTACTTGAAAGTTTGAATACAATCATACACATATACTTCAAAATATTTTATTTTCAAGATCGAAATAAAAACAAACGTCATACGATTGCAGCGGCGACAGTAATTATTGACAACGACGATAATAAACACGTACGTTGTCGTACAAGTCCAAAAATAATTCAAGAAAATAAAAAATTAATCACTTCACAACATCCTCATCATAATGGTATGCAAAAAAAAAGTAAAAAATAAAATAACACCATTAACATAACAACAGAGTGTGTAGATGTTGAATAATAAAGATATTGTTTAATAGATTCGATCATATACATGAATGAAATCAGTGAGTAGGTGTGACACAGTAACGGATCATAAAAGGATATAAGTTTCTATCTATGATCAAAGCGAGTGAAAATATTGATCTTATGTCATTGTGTAGAGGTATATATAAAACTTAGGTTAGATTATGAATCCAAATGTGGTAGAAGAATTCAAAAAGTAATGTTCATTCAATTAAAGCACCTAAAGATGTCTTTATTTTATTACTAAATTTGTATATTTTGAATTGCAGATGAGAACGAGATATGTATTCTCTCCAAGCTGTGTGATTCTCGAGAAATTTTTCTTGAATTTAGTGCTGAACAAATGTACAAATGTGATCTTTGAAAATCTATAAAAATTGAAAGAATTATCGACTACTTGTGAAAGTTGAATATCAGTATTTAGATTCTTCTGTTGTATCACTCGCTTCGTAACTCAAATTTGATACCATATTCGTAGAGCATAATGTCTTCTCTACTTAATTGTAAAATGACGTATGTCATGTACCGGAGTGATAAAATGTTTATGAAAAAGCAGTCAAAATAGTGAAAATCTGGGCGAATGAAGATGCAGTTTTTATCTACCATTTAGCAACCATAATAGATCGTAGAGAGTTTTTTGTATATAAATGAAGCTCACTTGCTATATACAATTAGTCTTTCGGGATATTTTGAGTACTAAGAGTTGGGCTTAACAAATTTTCTTCCTCATAGTATCCTAATTTCTCGATTTGAACAACACTGGAAGCACTGGAACAACTCTTGCAGTATATTGAAAGTCCAAATTTTTTCAATATATAGCTTTAGATTTGTATTTTCGAATACAGTTACATATTTTCGTTTATCTAGTCGAACGGTTTAATAAACAATAGAACGCAATTAGAAGAACTATTTTGAAATTTATAAGCAAGAGTCTCAAATAAGGATAATATATGACTAGAGCCCTGCTGGACTAGAACGTTTTGGTAACCTCTTACATATACTTCTAATTAATGATACTAACAGAATGTTTTCATGATGGAAAAATAGATAAAAGTAAAACTTTCTTTTATCAAACGATTAATTACGACTTCGATTGAGTTTACAGATTTAAAAATTAAAAATCGACGAAATTGACGAATCGTTTATATTGCAACATTTGAATAAACTGTATGAAATAGAAATAGGACTCGATTCGATCAATATTCCCAGAAAATTACATTTTTAGAAATGCTGTGTTAATTCAAAAAAATTAATAATTGTTTAAACGAGTGTAACATTTCTTTTTTTATTTGTAAAGTTTCAGAAGGAGTAAAGTATAGTCTTATAGTTGGGTTAGATGAGAATGATAGAGTTTTCTGTCTCAAAAATATCATACTGTAAGTTATTTGGACTGCTGTTAGTCGTTGACGAATTTTTGCACTATGAATTATGACCATCCCGAATGAACTATTGATTTTTCTGCAAATCATATGTATTATGTACCGAATTTAAACATTTTCTTTTTTATCGATTACTTTTAGTTAAAGATAAACCACTTTCCAATCGTTCCATTCGATCAAAACCGCGAGTAAATGGAACCGGTCTTAAACCACTTGTCGCTGGTAAGAAATACTTGTCTATTCATCGTCAAATTTTTTTACCATTTTCATTTTCAATGCATAATTTTAGAACATACAGATGACGAAGACGAAGAATTTCATCCAAAAACTGAACCGATCATCAATACATTGCGTACGAGTCATGGTATCATTACGACGATATTATTATCTGATTGTACAATATTTTGATATATTTTTTTAATTTTAAGCTTCTCCAACATTATTAACTACTAAAACTCGGTTACAATCGAATGATGCTCAAATGACGACTACAACCACTGTTGAAACAAATGATTTCAAAATGTTGACAACATCCGTTGAAACAATGCGAACAGCCATGCTTCAAGCGTATGTATTCTTATGATTTTATTATATATTTAAAAAAGAAAATTATCATTTTCAGCTATCTTAATCTACATGAACGATTTACAAAGACAACTGAATTACAGACATCAGCAATGGCTGCACTTTGGAAAATGGTAAGTAATATTTAAAAAACTCTACAATTCAATATTAACAATCTAATTTAAAAAAAAAACAAATTCGTATGTTGCAGGTAGAAAACAATAATCGAATGAAACAGAGTCAAACAGATAAAGTATTGGAAGAAAATCGACTATTAAATCAACGTGTGCTCGATCTTGAAGCTAAATTAAATAAAACAAATACAAATGGGAATAATTCTGTAAGTATAAAATAATTCTAGTATTTTCTATGATTTTTGAACAATATAGATTTGTTTTAGGTCGATGAACAAGGTCATCCAAGCAGTCCACGATCAACGAGTGCCAGACTTTCATTCGATACAATTTCAGCACATCAATCAACACCAGTAAAAAATCAAAGTACACAATTTTTACTAGGATTTTATTAATATTATTTACTAAATGTCTTATTATATTTAGATGCAGTATTATCAAATAAAACAGATAGTTCACTTCTTCCTCCGTTGCGTGCTCATATATCAAAACGAGATGCCAAAAGTTTTTTTCTACATTGGGTACCAAATCCAAATAATCGCCAAATTCTTGGTTACAAAATATATATTGATGATACTTTGAAAGGTGTTGTTGAACCGACCAAATTTGAAGTTATTATCAATGATATTCGGGATGAAGGAGAATATAGAATTAAAATTCGTGCCTATGATGAACATTTCGAATCATCTGATTCAAATATTGTTATTGCACGTTTTCGTCGACAACAAAAAAATACAAGTAGTACAATAGCATCAACTCAGGCTTCTACACCTTTACAGCGTACTCAGTCAGATCATCAAATTAAAGACAAAATATCGTCAGCCGTTAAAACAGAAGATAATACTGTAGATCGTTATCATCCATTACGTCAAACTCAATCATACGGAAATCTATTTCCATCTTCTAGTCAAACACCTATCATTATGGATCAACAAAAAAAAAATACTACAGAGGGTGAATTATCAATGTGTTCTGGAGGCTTTCCTACACATCAACAACAACAATTTCGATCTTATTCGTTTGATAATGGAATACCACAGGAAGAAGAACAATCAATAAAAAAATCATTTTCACCCGATAATGTCATAGATCAGTCACCTGTCAACTATACTTTTGGAACGCCAGAACGAAAGGTAAATGTCATTTTATTTTTGTAGACACTTAAGTTAACTTATTGAATTTGCACAACAGTATCGCTGTTAAGAATCAGCAAAGAGAGATACAAGAGAGATAAGGCAATAATCGTCTGTCGTTTTACTATTCATAGAAACAAATTTATTTGTTTTAGTGTTCAAATGAAGATTTACATTCATCAGCAATGTCTAGTCCTTCACAATCAAATCGAAATAATGACAATAATAATAATATCATCCTTCGTAAACCACCTAGATCTCCTAATCGTGATAAAGACAGTGGTTCGACTTCAACACACACGGGTACATGTAGTAAAGTATTATTTTCAAGTGAATCAACTTCGACGTCAAAACATAGTCCAAATCGTTCATCGGGTATCATGTCTCGTCTTGCTAAAAGTCCGCTAAAGGTTAAACGGAGTCAAATACAACAACAACAACAACCACACAGTCGAAATGCATTGTTAAATGCACTAATTGCTGATCAGCAACAAACAACGACAACATCTGAATTACATAGGCCATCATCATCAAATTTTGTTGTCGAATACAGTCGAAGTTATCATAAACCACAATCAATTTCACCAGAGGAATTAAAAAATAAATCAAAAGTATGTTGATTTTGTCCGCATAGTGACAAACAGAAAAAATATTTGTTTTATTTTAGACTAAAATACTGAATCGTATCACGAATTTTATACCTATTACAAATCCATTAAACTTATCTTGTAATGTTATTTATCGTCAATTAGAATGTAGTCATCTTTTAGCTCAATATTATCCCATGTCATCGGACACAACCATGAAATTTTCAATGTCTTCACCACTACCAATTCCTCCTCGACAATCTACTCGTCATAAATCGAGTCGAACTTATAATACAGCAGAAGAAGAAATGACAGAAATGTAAAAAGTTAGAAATTGTTTTATTTTTATTCTTAATTTTTTGTGTAGATAACATTTTTACGAATTATTTTGAATTTTTATTGTAGATTCATTCAATTTCTTCTTTTTTTTAATATTCTTCTTTGTCTTTACGTTAATTAGTCAGATATATTTATATAGTGATTTTTTTTAAATTAACAAGTCAAAATGAAATAATTAGAGCGCGTCCTTTTATATGCCTAATCTTTTTTCTGATTAATCAGAGTTTTGATTCAGTAAACAATCATGAGGATGTTGATTATTTCCTCTTAGAAAATAGATTTAGGAAACTTTTATATTACTCAAGCAGAATTCTTTTCATTTTTATATATTGATTGAAACTTAAGTAAAAGGTGTTAAATTCTAAGACTTTTACAAATTTTTTTCAGCGGAGAGAGCTTTTTTTTTCGACCACTGTAACTATTCATTTTATTTCATTCATTCCGTAATCTTGAGTGAAACCAGTTTTTATCAAAGTTTGAGCGAACGACAGTATAGTAGCGGTACATTATAACGACAGGACCCCACTATCAACGGAGAAGAAATTATTTCTTTTCCAAAAGCGAAAGAAAGTATTGATTGTCCCCAAATTACTCGTATCTAACTCGATATCTTAAAAATAAGTAGAAGTAGGAACTGCATGAGGGCTCTTGAGTGGAAATTTCAAGAATCCAAGACTTTTGGTACAGGAAGTTCTTCTGAGGAAAACACATTCTTTTATGAGAGAACGGAAAATACACACAGATATAAGTGCCAAACGTATATGGAAAGTCCAGTCGGGAAAACGAAGACTAGAAAAATATGTTTAGCCCTTGAATCGTGAACACAGAGAATGGACTGCTACAATTCGAATTTTACTATCTGAAATTCAAATTTAAATTTTTATTCAGATAGGATTAAATTTGGCTAACGGATGTTCGAATTTTTGTTTAGAAATTTTAGATTTCAGTACATTGGAAGGACATCATATAGGCTGAGACTAAGCCAGTTGACAACATTGCAAGTTTTCATTGTTTTAGCCAACCAAGATTTGACTGTCAATATATGATGAAGATAGTGAGATAAATTTCAAATTTGGCTTGACAAAATTCTGCTGAATTTTAAGTCTGTTTTTAAAAATTGTGTTTAAATAAAGTGGAACAAAAATAGTTAACTAATTCAGTATACAAGGCAAAAGCGCTTGCTTTTGACATATGGGTGAAACTGTTTGGTGTCACATAATATATATATATAATCAGTCTGAAGTTAAAAATATATCTTCAACTGCTGTTAAAAACATTCATTCAAATTAAAGTTAAGATTAAACATTACAAACTCTTTCAAAACATTTTAACTTTATAATTTTAAGTAATAGAGGTGTTTTCGATACCTCTAACTTAGTTTTTTTATTCTGTTTTACAAAAATACAGTTGTAGCCAATAAAATATTGTAGTCATTAAATATACTTTTGTTAATATCATAAATTTTATTCAGACAAAAGTCGTCTGGATCGCGTTAGTCTTTTATCTTAGATCAAATTACGAAATTCCATAAAGTGAGCATCAAACCTGTTGATGCTCAAGCACATGCAAGAACGAACGACAATGTCTTTCATTAGTATCTGATGTTACAGATGTTAATATCACTACTATCCATCCAATAGAGCTGATATGTTTTACACCTGTTGAACTGCTGTTGTTAATCGTTGTGATTATTGAAATAACAAACTAGTGTAAGATAATTTTACCACTTTGATCGGCATTCTTACTAGTAATTGGAACTAATATTTCAGTGGTTGTGTTGATAATGTTATCGAACACGACGCATCTCGTCGTATGGATTGTTTTCAACAAAAAGTACAAAAAACTGCCACATTTATATAAAATAATCATTTCTTAGCTATATTCACAGAAAATCCAAAAAACTTGTAACTCACTTGAAGAATTACTTAATACGATATGTTAAAGATAATTCCATTTTTGTCTATTTTACATATTTGTATTATTGAAAAATGGTGAGTTTAAGACTTTTAGGTAGTATATTTTCAGCTGTAAAAGTAGTATAGTATCAGCTGCTATAAAAATTTCTGTATCTTTATACGTGAAGATACGACATGATTCTGACTGACTTCAATAAGTTGATAAATTTCTAGAATATAGTTTAAGAATTTTCAGCTGAGTTTTAATAAAATCTTTTTCTAGCGCATTTTTTGAAATAAAAATTGTCTTGAGATTCAGATAATCGATAATATATGCCCTATACATATTCACTTTTATACAAGTGCACTTGTATTTTCGAAAGTGAACGTGTGACTATTTAAAGAATCTCCTACACCATTCTATTTTGCAACGGATAGTAGTAAAAAGCTTTCTGTTCTGTATTGCTAGAAACAGTTGTAATTAAAATTTACAAAAGAATCCAAGACCTAACATAATATTCTGCTTTTTCTACCAACATTCAGAAACTGAAAACATCATTTAAGTAACGGACTTAAGTGACCTAAATCCTTTGATTGTTGCACTGTTATATATTACTGAAAAGGCGAGCTTTATGAGCTGATTTTATCAGTATGTTTTATTGTGGTCTTTCTCGATTAAATTGTAACTAAATATGATGTTGTTAAGAAATTGAAGATCAGAACAAAAGGATAATCGTTTAAGGCAAAGTTTGCGAATTGCTGATGAACGAGAGAATAACAAGTAACCAGGTGAACCACGTCTTGTAAGACCTTTCAAGATCTGATGTTTTCTTGTGAAATCTTGGGATAAGGTCTTACGATATGATCTTACAAGATCTTGTTATAAGATAATGTAAGATCTTATGAAATCTTGTAACTTCTTGTCGTAAGATTTGATAATAAGAAGTGACAAGATCTTGCAAGATCTTATATAACTTTTTTCGTCAGATTCGTATAAAAATTTGTAAAATTCTGTAAGAAACATAGAAACTGATTCTTGATGTAAGATTCTTGTAAGATTTTATAGGATCATGTAAGATCTTTATCTGATTTTTTGACCTGATTGGGCGGTACATGACTAGTTACCATGTAGATTACTAATTGGAAAAGGGACTTTTAATTAGATGCGTCTGCATGTGTAACTAACGATAGTTAAATCGATAGTTGCAACTAGAAGAAATTTACCAATCGCCCGATTACTAGATTTCCACTGTCGTTACCCAATAGTTGCAATCGAGTGAAAATCTAGTAATCTAGATGAATCGAGCGATATTAGATTTTTTTTGACGCTTGAGATCATTTTCTTTGAAAAACTTGATTTTTTTTTCGCTTTTCAACCTCACACGTTAGTTGAGCACACCCAGGTCTAAGGGTTAGATAACAAGATCTTGGAAGATCTTACAAGATCATATTCGATCTTGGGTGATCGTATAATAAGAAATCATAAGATTTCAAAAGATCTTAGCAATTCTTATCAATTTCCTGTAAGATCTTACAAGATTTCATATGACATCTTGTAGCAAGATTCTTATAAGATTTTACAAGATTTTTCTTATCATAGGAATGTA